AGAGCTTAGTATACACCCTCAAATTAAATATTTCAATAGAACAGAGGGAATTCATCAAAAGTTATCCTAGCCAATAGAGTGGAGATTGATTTTGATCATTTTATCATTTGATTAATTTTGAGAAGTTTCTTATATATTATTTGAGGAATCATGCTTTAACTATTCCTCATGAATTACACGCAAGTGGGTCATTTCAAGATATTATGAAGAGACAGATTGATAATGAAATATGTGAAAAAGTAAGGGCCAAAGGATATATCATTGACTGTAAACACTTCAAGAAAAAGAAGTCTTAACTTTTTGGGCCAAAAAGAAGTGCAATGGGGACATATTCAAAGTTCAGTGGCTACTATTGGTAGTTGCCAAGCATGGTCAATGATGGAAAGTTCATAAAAGTAAAGATTTTTCTTTTATTTTACTGTAAAAAGGAAAAAGAAAGTAAATAATTTATTGAAAATTCAATGAATGATAGCTAAATGTTTGATAGGAAAATATACAGAAAGTATGCAATAAAGCCGTTTATCTTGGTACAAAAGGTTACAGTTGCACTGAGCCATCCGATGTAAATATAAGTGGCCAGGTATGTGTTATTGAGCATCACGAAGTCTTGGTATATTTTATGGAACCCCTATCAGATTCTTATTTTAAATTTGGGTGCTTTTTATTTTTTATATTTTTTTAGACCACCATTTAAATAGACGATCTAGCGATCTAACACAAATTTGGATTTTCACCCATTATTGGAAAGATGGGGTATTGGCATGTTATAGACCTCTAAATCTATCTACATTGACAACCAATCATTTATTGGACGGTGATAATCCTCGTGATCATGCATTCTGTTCAATCGCATGGATTGTACTATTGTCCCTCATCATATGAAGGTGCAGTTAGTGCAAAGCTTGGGTTTTAGGATTAAAAGTAAAGTTGCATTTCAAAACTCCACTAAAAAATGCACTACAATGGCATGAAAATCTATTATCACTCTCTATGAAATGAAAATTTCATAAATAATGCAAATTTGCTCAACCTGCAAACACCCAAAAAAATGCTACAAAATACAATATTTTCAAGGCCTTGACATCCAAAAACTGTTATATTTAGGGTATCACTTCGATGCTTTTCTTGTAGTCCAAATTTTTTTGGTGGTTTTGGAATGAAAAAGCCATAGTCTTTTCAAGGAATTCATTCTCTTTATGGGCACGTTTGTTACGCGTGAAAATATTTTTGGGAACACTTCTTTTTAATTTTTTATTGGGGAATGATTTCATGCAATGGTTGTATGGTAGTATGATGCAACCATTTTCGAAAACCCCGTTAGAGACATTTGTTTCACACAAATTTTTAAATGGACATTGCTTTCATTCTAAAGAACAATCACAAAAAATAAAAATTTGAAAAAATGTCTTAGAAAGTGTTTTTATGGTCCAATTAATATAAGTTGTCCATTTTAGTGAGATGATTAGATATAGGCCTCATAAGGATTTATTTATTCCCAAATTTTTTATATAGTGTTATCATCGTTAGATTAACAATGCTAAAAAAGAAAAAAAGTGATTTTGAAATTGTTAGGGCCTAGATTTTGAAACTCATTAGATGGATAGTTGAGATTCATTGTTGGAGGGTATTAATTTTGACCATATCTATGATGCAAATTGATTTTTTATTTTTTTCCTTATGATTGAGTACGAGGATGAAGATAATGCATGTGCAAAATTTGGGGTTATACAAATGTCAAAAACATTATTTTTTAGATGTGTGGTTGCATTATACTACTATACAACCATTGTATCAAATCATTCATTTTTTTTATTATAATAAAATTTAATCCAAATTTGAATTTCATCCTAGAACCCATATTTCAGCTCTTGATCAAATTTTATTTTGATTTTTTTTTTAATGTTATCAAATTTTATCTTTTTTTTTATATGTTAAACTAAAACGAAATCCTGACAAATTTTAGAAGAAAATTTTTGATAATTAATTTTAGAACAATGCTGATAATAAGTACATTCCGAGTTGAATATCCAAAACATATTTCTTTCTTTATTTTTCAAAGAAAAATAATAATTACAATGGATTGAAAACTTATTATTAGGTATTAGGAAAAAAATAAATTCATTGCTAAACGTTTATTGAGAATGTTCAATACCCGTTTCACATCATCTACACGAAAATGTTGAATTTTTCTAAATCTTCTTGGCTCTTACTAACATATTCATTGATCCAAACATTTATCCTATAAATCATGAAATTTATTCATCAAGCCATGTTCGATGATTCCAAAGGTTTATTATTTGTTTGTTTTTGTTGTTGTTTGTTACCAAAAAAAAAAAAAAACTTTTGAATGCCCAGTAGAAACATATTTACCTAAAGGATAATCCCCTCCTTTGAATCTTCAACGCATAATGAAAAGCATGGCTGCTAAGTAAAGTAGCAAAACTCACGTGATGTTTATCATATGTTTACTGAGTAGGCGAACCAACAGTATGGTAAAAGACAAACGGGTCTTATTCGTGCTCTTGGATTTTTTTTTAATGGCCAAAACATTCATCAGGTTCGCCCAACTTGTACAGGGGAATTTCCAATTTGTCCTCATACATAGCACTAAATAAAAGTTTAAACTAAAGGGAAAGTATACAACAGAGCATACACATTTTTTCTTTTTTTAATTAAATAGCATTCCCAGCCATCATTTGTTGACTATGGACGGTTGAGATGGCGTTTACCATACTGTCTGTATGGCAATTTGTACATTGTGTGTGCACAGTAACATTTATTGTAAATTTTCATATTAGAGATGCACAATAAACCCTCAAGTACAATAAACCAATACATGTGTACGTTTGGAATTGGAGAATGGTCCTGGGTGGTTGAGAGGATAGAACCAAGTGTTGAGGAGAAGAGTCTTAATACTATAAAAAATATTCCAATTTTTTCTAATTTTTTTTTGAGTGGGGCAGGGGTCGCAAAAGAAAAATATTAAAATATATTTAACTTTTAAACAATTTAACACATTACCCTCCTTCAACTATTCCAACTCATGGTCATATACATTTAATGGGTAGAAGACATGGTAAAATGTTATCATCTGAAAAATGATAATTATCGACTTCAGAGGTTTGATCTTAGAAAAAAGTTTATATAATACTATTTAAGTAAGGTGCACCTAAAAATATCATCTGGAAGAGTGTTTCGACATTAGAGAATCCTCTAATTGATCATCTCAATTTCGAGATATGTAGATACGAAGAAAGTGCATATTGTAATAAGTTATTTAGACTATCTATTTTTAAGTGTTTATAGATTTGCTCGATTTTTACCAGTTTTGGAAATTTAAATTTTATGACTAGGAATAAAATAGATTTTCAAATCATCATGGGCTTTTCAACATTGAAACACCATCTTTAAACATTTTTTAGAGGTACACCTTACTTCCAAAGTACAAGGAGACGCCAAATACAAAATTCTCAGTTGTGTTAATTTCAAAATTCAAAGGGATTTGGGAATTTCACTATAATAGAGAGAAATAATGATTTTATGATCCAAAAAAATCAAAAGGAAAATTGTTTCATATGGCGGGAACGGCATTTCTACGTTTGCGGTCCCCGAGGTATAAAACATAATGATTGCAAATAAGTTATCCATCTAAAAATAATTGAAACTAAAGCTCAAATATTTTTTTAATAGAATTATTATTTTTAAAATATATTTATTATTTGTATTCATGATCTGCATGTTAGAAATGACATGTCCTTAAAAATTAGGTAAGAAAATCATGAGAAATTATGGCTACTATACCTATATTTTAAGGAAATTGGAAAAAAAACCTCAAACTTCTCAAAACCTCTCCCACACCTTTTTTCATGAATTTTGACATTTTTTTGACAAAACTACCCTTTACGATTGTCATTGTACCGTAAAAAGCATTACAGTATTAATAGTACCGTAATGAGCATTACGATACTTTTAATACTGTAATGCTCTTTAAATGCTCTACAGTCATAAAAAGATCGTAATGGAGTTGAACATCATTACAGTACTAAGTGTACCGTAATGCTTTTTTTGATATAGAGGAGATGTTACATATATCATTATGTGGGGAGCACATGCAGTTCCTTAAGGAGGTGTTGGATGGAAAGTTGGAAGACATGAAAAGGATAATGGAGAACCCTTGCATTGACACGACGGGTTCACTCTCTTGCATTTTGTTGCTATCAATGGGAGGGTTTTGTTATGAAAAAGGCTCTTGGAAATCATCCCCTCATAAAAGTTGGAAGATAATAACGATTTTGGTTGGACCCCACTTCATTGAGCAGTATTTAGTAGAGAAAATATAGAATTTTTGGTGCAAAATGACTCATCTATATTCTCTCTCTACAATTCTGTCGAGCATTTTTTTCAAGCAACGATGTCATGGAACATTTATTTCATACCAAAAAGAGCACTATTGTACTCACAATACCATAACGCTCATTACAATACTCTTAATGTCGTAATGCTTATTACGATACTTTTAATATCGTAATATTTGTTTATGGTACAAAGACTACTGTAAAGGTAGTTTCATTAAAAAAGAAAAAAGCTAAAATTTGTAAAAAAAAAAGTGTGGACGAGCTTTTAAAAAATTAAATTTTTTTCCCTATTTCTTTAAAATATGAGTACATGAGCGATAATTTCTAAAAAATCATCTCAAAAATAGACTTTTAAGAACTGACTCATTTTTACATGGATTAACAGAATCCGTGTCCAAATCAAAAAGGTCTTCTGCCCTTTTTTGATGAGCACAAAAAGGGTAGAATAATAATTTTGAACATGCCGAAGTCGAAGCTCCAAAGACCAAACTTTCGTCAAACTTTTGAGTAATTCCCAATGAGTCAAGAAAAAAAACTAAAAAAAAAGTGTGAAAATTACTTTCTTACCCTTAGCCACAGAAAAAACGCGGGGAAAATTTATTTAGCCTCGTGGCCTTGCAACAAACACCCCTTTATTCACTGCTTTCCAAATCCTTTTTTATCGCTACTCTGTTCCGTACAAATAGTGAAACCTGAAACCCTAACCTTCTTTGCAATTCCTCATCTCTCGACCGAATGAGGGTTTTCTTCTCGCACAAGCTTGGGGGAACCTAAATTAGGGCTTCTCAGTGCCTTAGATTTTGATTTATTATTCAATTTTTCGGCAAGTATTGCCCTAGATTGTGGTTTCTTCTGGTTATTTTGAAGGTGATTTTTACTTCCTTTGTTCTTGTTGTTTGGGGCAAAGGGGCGCCATTGATAGGGATTTTTGCTGGCTCTAAGGTGATTTAGGGTTTCCATGTCCTTTTCTCTGGTTTTTAGGCGAATAGTCTTGTTTCCTTTTTTGCTGACATTCTGTTATTTGTTTTCTCCACTAACTGATTGTTTACAGGATGGAAGAGCAGAGCTGGGTATTGGACATTGACACCATTAATGAAGTTGCAGGATCTGACGCTCAATTTTATTTGTCTGAGGGATATGGCAACCTTCAGAGCACCAGGTACATTTACATGTCTCTTTCTTTCTCGCTGAATAATTAGCCATCTAGATTCTGAATGTTCTAGGGAACACTTTAATTTCTGCATCGTAAAAATTACATCTTTGATTTGCTCTCTCTCTCTCTCTCTCTCTCTCTCTCTCTCTCTCTTTCTGTGGTTATGCTTGTGATGGGGGTGCACGTGTGCTCGTTGTGTATGGGTAGGTAATGAAGTTATTGATCATCATTATCAGCATCATAATCATCTGAGCCGAATCCCCACTATTTGGACTTAGCTACACGAATCCTCTTCCCCCCAGGATTCATGAAATAGATGAAGTTATCGATGCTGTGTGAATTATCTATCCTACTCATTAGAAAGAAAAAAAAGTTTTTTTAAAAAATTATCTATCCTATTTCAATTTGGGATTTTTACCGTAGATGCTTTATGCAATCACCAGTTTCTGCCATGTGTGGATGATTTTGTTATTTTTGCTCTCTCTTCCCCTCCACACCCCTTCCCCCTTCTTCCCCTCCCTGTGTATGCTCTATGAATTATCCATCATCTTTCAAATTAGGAGTTTTCCATGTATAATTTATGTAATCTCCAGTTTTGGCCATGTCTAAATTATTTTTTTGTTTTTGTTTTTGCTCTCTCTCTCTACATGTTTGTGCACGCACGGGCATGTGTGCACGTGTGTGTTGATTGCCATTTTGGTTCTGGATGTTTTGTGTGGTTTTCTTATTACTGTCTACTGAGGGATACACTGTTCATTTTGTTTCATTCTCTCTATTCATCATCCTATATAACTTGGGTGCTTGGATCTGAACGTTTTATGAAATATATTGGTTCCATGAGATCATGATATTCTTTGTTTTGGGTAACTCTTCGGAGGGTTTCCAATTGAGTGTTCTTGATTGGGATGTTGGCATATTATTTAGTTTATTTGTTATAAGTTGGTATTGTTTAAGTCAACCGTTTCTCAAAAAAATAAATAAAAAAAAATGGTATTTTTTGATACTTGCCTACTTAAACAATTGATATACTTTTTAAGGTAACATTGTTTTGGAGGATGTTTTGATACTCAAATTTGAAGGGGCTCCATCTTAATAGGAGCTAAGGCCCAATGAAATAAATTGGAGTTTAGGCTACTTAAAGAAATGATTACGGTCCTCACATTGGCTCCAATTAAATACCTAAATAAATGATTATGGGCCCTGACTTCATCTCCAGCTTAATTGGAGCTAAGGCCCTTCCTTGCTGGCTTGAGCACATTTCTGTAGTTCTTCTCGGGCTGCTTAGCAGTTAACAGTGTCAGTTGAGTAAGTTATTGTAGGTGGGCTTAGAAGAGGTTCCCCAATCATAAATAATTTCTATGTGGGTCCAATAATATGTGTTACACCGAATTAAAAGTTCTTTAATTAAAAGAAAAAGACGTTCTGTACCCATAAATGATTTGTATATCATTCGAGGAGATCAGACTCTAATGGCATGATGATATCTGTGTCTATAAGATTCACTTGCCTTGGAGCTAGTGGGGTGCATCCAATGTGTCTATAGGATTCACTTGCCATGTCTACTTGGAATCAGTGACTTGATAGAGATATGGCTGAGTGTATGATCCATTGATTGATCTAATTTTCCTGGTTTGGATTTGCCTGAGTTCCGATAGTGGTGTTTTGTGTTCATTTGTCCTGCAAAATGGTACAGACCAAGAGTATATATTTAGTGCTAGTACCATCAGGTGTTCAGAATTGGTGGCTCAAGAGAGGTCTAGTGAGGAGCCACTGAGCCAGTATTTTTCGTGTCTTATACCCCTAGGGTAGATTGTTTCCACTCTTATTGCTATGAAAATTTCGAAAATGACATATAATGCACCTTAATCTACAGCTACCCCCCCTCCAAAAAAAAAAAAAAAATTGAAAAAAGGAAAAAAAAAAAAAAAAAAACTCCAGGAATCTTTATTTCTAATGGACCTTTTTGGATAGACTTCATCCATGGAAGAGCCTCTGGAACAATCTGTCGTCAATGGAAGTTAATGGTTGTTCCCAAGCGGTGCAAGTAGACCAATCCTTTTTCAATAGAAATGCGTGCGGCACTGCCTTGTGACCATATTATCCTTTTGCAAATGGTTTGATGACTAAAGTTTTATTATAAATAAGTTAATGCCCAAGTTAAGTATGATCAGATGTTATAACCTATGACAAATTTGTATTTATTTAACTGTATATTATTTTGTAAATTTTGACTTTTGAAAGTATGTTATTTTTAATTTGTTGTGTTTATGTATTATAGATATGATCATATGTTTCTCATATCATCAATTGTTTTCTGAAAAATCTCAGTAGTTATTGTTCTTAAATTTTGACAAAGTATTTCAACTCTCATCCTTATAAGCTATTATTTATTATTATCTTGAAGTTCTTTATGTTCTCATTCTGAGCTAGTATTTACTGTTATCTTCAAGTTCTCATTCTAAGTGTTTTACATCTTTGATAACAGTTGGGATATTGACTGCATAAATGCAAATGCTGTTGGCCCAGAACAAACAAGCTCAAGGAAAAGGTAATACTCCTTTTTGATAGTTTTATACATTGTAGATTCTGTTTTGATATCTTATTGACAAATTAATTATCCATTAATTTTTAGAAATAGATTAGATATTGAATTTCCGATGTTCGAAATCATGAATGCTGGTTGAGATACAGTACAAGGTTCCGTTATGGGATTAAGTATTTGGTGCAAAGTGGTCTTCTGCAACGATAAAATGGAATGTGATTCTGGTTAAATTCTTCATTTTGGTTCTTTTATATGTGGGAACTGCGTTCATGTCCTTGGTGTCTATATCTGGGTTTTTGTCGTTGCTGTTTGGAATATTGCACTTTCTCTTTAAAACTTATAATGGTGATCTAAGGTCAATGCAATATGTCTTGTACAGAGGGATTTTTTTTTTGGCAGGTTTTAAATGATGTGCTTAGCGGCCGAACAAGATGTTGTTTTTTGAATATGTGGCATATATAGAACTTTTTTTTTTTTTAATCAATATTTTTGCATTTTATTAAGTTTATAGGAGTATGGATGGGGTGCAACTGTTTGATATTCAGAAAGTATTGTTGCATATTTGCCCACATTTTTATGAAGAATATGTAATATAAGATATCTGCGAATCCCTTTTCCAGAGCTAGAGATGAATCGTGCTGTGCACCTGGGTCCAAGGCCTGTCGCGAGAAAATGCGGAGAGATAGGCTGAATGACAGGCATGCTCTCTCTCTCTATCTCTCTTCCTAGCTTCCCCCACCCAAACCCCTCCCCCCCCATCTCTTTTCCTTCTCCCTCCCTCCCTCCCTCCCGCCCTCCCTCCCTAGTCCCTCTGTCTCCCACTTGTTTCTTATAGTCAATTGTATTTATGATCGTTATCATTATACCTCCCTCCCTCTCTCCCTCTCCTCCCTCTCCTATTTGTTTCTTCATTGTCTTTGTATTTATCATAGTTAATTATTTGTGTATCACTCGTCGTGATCGACTTCCTACCTGTTTGATCGTAACTTTAATTTAGGTTTTTGGAGTTGGGATCTATCCTCGACCCAGGGAGGCCTCCTAAAGCTGACAAAGCAACCATTTTAAGTGATGCTGCCCGTGCCTTGAGTCAGCTACGAATTGAAGCACAGAAGCTCAAGGAAGCAAATGAAAAGCTCCAAGAAACTATTAAAGATTTGAAGGTTGGCGCGCATCTTACTTTCATCTTCTTTTGGTGTCATGTGAGAACAAGTGAAAGTTGTGCTTCATCATCATCATCATCATCTGAGCCTTATCCCAACTATTTGGGGTCGGCAAAGTGAAAGTTCTACTAATTAAAACAAAATGAAGCAACAGTTCTGAAATTCATCTAATTAAGTTATGAAATAATGATATTTTGGTCCTCAACCTTGTCGTTGTTCTAAGTACGTAGATTACTTTTGTCATTTTTTGATGATTAGATTGCTAGAAAACATTCTTTATAACAATAAGTATGCCCTTGCTCGTGATGATCAAAACTCTTTTGAAAACCACGTCTTTTGTGAGTAGTTATAAGTTATGACCTAAATTGCTCTGAATAATATATCTGATAGATAATTGAGATGTCTCAAAACCTAACCTAAGCATCTTACTGCTTAAGCCAGAACCAGAGACAGCTTGAATAGTGCATTACCAAAACTGAGAGTGTTCCAAAATCTTGGTTTGTGTTGGACGAAGTTCACTTTATGTAAGACTAACAATGGGCTGGGTGGGCCGGCCCAGTCCTAAAAACTAGGGCTTGTGCTCAGTGTTCGCAAACTCGGCCGGTCCAACTTGGAACTGGCCAGTCAAATTGGAACCGGGCACTGGTCGATTTGGTTTTGGCTGGTTTTGGTGGTCCAACTGGGTATTTTAAAAATATATATGTAAAATCCCAAAAAATAAGGCATTTGTTTGTATTGTGTTTTTTAATGTTTTTTTATCATTTTGGCAAAGATTGAAAAATGTTTTCTCCATGAACACTTATTTTTAAATTTTTGCTTCTTTTTTTGGAAAATTTTAAAAATACCCCTGTGCACAAATCGATTATTTAAAATTCATTTTTTTCACTACTTTTCAACTTCTTTTGGATGTGCTTTGTTTAATTATGCTTTAAACATATTTTTCATATTTTTTTGGATTTATTTATTTTTTTTATTTTTCTTAATACCTTTTGAACTAGTGGGGACCTACCCGCTGAACCAGCCGGTTCACTGGTTACTCGGACCCAGCCCTCGGCCAATTTTTGAGGCCTGTTCGATTTTTCGAACACTGCTTGGCTACAAAATGTGGCCTGCGGCCCAGTCTGGGCTCTCCATCCCTATAGTGACCAGGGCCTGGCTAGTCGGCCTGACCCTGGTGCAGTCCATTGCCAGCCGTACAAATGTTAGCAAGTCCCTAGTTATTATTATCTTTGATAAAGAACGAGTAATGGGATTAGTTTAAGTTTCATGATAAATGCAACCTAAGTACATAAGCTGAGGAGAAATTACATAATCTGACTGACATGACCCAAAAAAGCAATAGATTGAGAAGTTAGGATTGTTTTTTGGTTGCTACCAATGTGATTATTATTCACAGTTGAAACCTCTCAAATCTCTTCATGCTTTGGGGTTTGCAGGTGGAGAAAAATGAGCTACGTGATGAGAAAACACGCCTGAAGGCTGACAAAGAGAGACTAGAACAGCAAGTTAAGGCCATGAGCATGGCCCCAACTGGGTTCATACCCCACCCAGCTGCCATCCATGCTTTTGCTGCTCCAAGTCAAGTAGGAGGAGCCAAGGCTGTACCTTACTCTGGATATCCTGCGATGACAATGTGGCAATGGATGCCCCCTACCGTTGTTGATACCTCTCAAGATCACAAGCTGAGGCCACCTGTTGCGTAGACTTCTTAATGTATCTTCTCGGTACTGATTCTGGCTATGAGTAGCTGCTATCAGTATCGGACTATGAGCAGGCGCTCCTTATTTTTTTCGCCACTAATTTTTCTTTTTAATTTTCTTTATGGATGCGGAAATATGTAATTACCGGTCTAATTTATCTGAATACATTTGTCTGATTTTCTGTTGCCTCACTGGGCTTGGGCAAGATCATGCTGCCTCTGTCTCTCTCTCTACTGTGTATATATGTATGTGATAATTTCTGCATCAAGTTTCTTGCTCTGTGATTCAAGTATTAAGAGAGTGGAGTTTTGTGTTTGGGCGAATTTGACAGGGTAGTAAAAGCAATGGAATTTGCGAGCTGAGTCCTAATTTGAATAACCATGTGATAGAAAATTGAGTTGTTATGGTTTGCGTTTCTGTAATTGGGGTATTTCTATTTAGACCTAAAACTTAATCTGCTTTGTTAGTTCTGTTAAATGCAGCAAATAATTTCAAACTATGATCTTATTCTCATCTCAATCCTCTGATTTAATCTGCTCTATTGTCTTGTTAAATGAAGGAAATAAGTGTCTAGCCGTGATTTCTTTTTCTCATCGACCAGCATAATATACATTCCATTTGCCCTGAGACCCCTTGAGGGTCATTCTTCTAAGCCAATGTCTTCATTTAGAAAAAGTATATATAAGGTTACAACCTTATAAAGTCTATAGAAGAGTGTTTTGAAGAAGAGTGTTTTGATGTTGGAAAACCCTTCAATCGATCATCTTGATTTTGTTATGGATATGAAAAAAAGAATTTCACGTATAAAAGTAGTAGTTCATCTTGTTATGGATATGAAAAAAAGAATTTCACGTGTAAAAGTAGTTCATCTTATAACAAGTTAAACTGTTTATTTTCAAGATTTTCAATTGTTCACAGTTATGTTTGATCCGTGCCAATTTTTAAACTTTAAATTTCATAACTGTGAATAAAAGCACACTTTCAAGCCATCAGAAGATTTCCGACCAAGGAACTATATCTCCAAATAAATTTTATGGGTGCGCCTTGCTTCTACAATATAAGGACTACGCTCTATACAAATCTCACTCTTATGTATTTATGTGTATTGTGATAAGACTTTATGGTTACATGGTGTAATCATGGATCTTGTGAGAAAGGGGACTGAAAACAATGCATTACAAGCTCTGTGACAGATGAGATGTATTAGAGTACAACAGGATTGTTATGAATTTTCAGTATGAAAAGTACACTGCTACATATGCGCACTCGTTCCTCCAGTAAATATTAACTGGAGGACCCAGTTTTTTATGCGGCCAAGCCTGAATATGTAGAAATGTGGGCCTATTAATAAATATATTTTTTAGATGGATTTTTGGACTAAATTTTTAAGGACATGTAATGTCACATGGAGATCATAAATATGAATAAATAAGTAGATCATAAATATGAATAAATAAGTAAATTTTAAAAACTATAAATAATAAATCTAGTAAAACATTTGGAATGTGAGTTACCATTGTTTTTAAATGGAACTTGCATCCATCTTTAAGATGGATGCTTTACACTTTTTGGACCGCATGTTTAGTTATGCCTACCAGCCCACATGAAACAATTTTCCTTAAAAAAATTACATCTGTCAAGACTATTATATAGATCCAAATCAGGTCAAGAATGGAAGAATTTATAATAGAAAAACCCTGGACAAAGGAAGCAGTACATCAGAAAAAACAAATGAATAAATGGTGGGCTTTTGACGCCATCTTCAGGCCACCTATTCAACTTCGTGCACCGTCCAAGATCCATGCCGAAAGTGGATTTTGGATCCAAATTTCGCAATCGCAATCTATGTATCTCGGCCACCACAACAATGAATCCAAAAATAGCAAAAGGATTTTGAGCCTTGAAAACTGGCCCTCATGCCCTTTTATTGGACCGTTCAATTCAATTGTTGCAACTTCAAACGTCCAAGATCATCAGATTTGCAGTGTTTATAGATCTCCAAATTCATGGATCTGAGGATGAAACGGTTTGTGGTAGTTTAGAGTGATGAGGCTTCAGGTCCTAAAACCCTTTAAACTTAGGGCAGAGGCATGAGTTGGTGACCCACCCCAAATACTTGGATAGGTAAATGAATGGAACATGTTAACCATTCTTACCATTTCAATATATGTTAGAAATGAATTTTTCAGCTTGATCTGCATTATCGATCTATTGAACAACATCATAAAGATGTCCTTCAATGTCTGGCATGAATCCCTTTTCTATCATCTCATCCCTAACTAAATCATAGGTCACATGGTTTGGAACCAAACCTTTCTCCAACAGTTCATTCAAAAGCCTATTTGCTTCTTCCATTTTTCCTTTCCTGCAAAGACCCTTGATCAACACATTATATGTCGCGACATTCGCTTTTCTGCCTCCTCTCTCCATTCTCTCTCTCAGACTTAAAGCCACCCTTAAATTCCCCTCTTCACAAAACCCATCCATCAAAATATTGTAAGTGACATGTTTTGGGTCCACACCCAACTCCGACATTTCATCCAAGAGTTTGAGGGCCTTCCTAGACTCTCCTCGCCTGCATAATTCACCGATTAATATGTTATATGTTATCACATCAGCTTGAATGTTGTTCTCTCCCATTTCATCAAGCAACCTACTCGCCCCTTTCGTATTCCCGGCCCTGCAAAAGCCTGCAATAAGAGAATTGTAAGTTGAAACATCACAGCACAAACCTCTTTGAGACATTTTGGCTTGTAACTCGAGAGCTTCCTCCATTTTGCCCAACTTACAATACCCATCAATTAGAGAATTATATGTTACAAGACTAGGAGCCAGACCCTTCTCTATAACCTCATCTAGCACGTTCTTGGCTTCTATCATTTTACCCACTCTACAAAACCCATAAATAAGCTCATTATATGTAACAATTGTGGGCTGGACATTACAACCTTGCATTTGGGTATTTAAGTCTAGAGCTTCCTCAATTTTGCCTTCTTTAGACAGCCCATTGATCAATGAATTGTAAGTTATAGCATTCGGAGAAAAACCCTTCTTCTTCATTTCATCGAACACTCTTAATGCAGCCAAACTATTCCCATCTTTGCAATACCCATCAATCAAAATGTTGAAAGTAACTTGAGTGGGAGAGATCCTATTTGTGACCATCTCTTTGAGAAGAGACTCAGCTTTATACATCTTCCCAATTTTTCCCATCTTACAATGCCCGTCGATGAGGGTATTATATGTAATTACATTCGGAGAGCAACCCCATGACTCCATATCAGCTGCCAAATCAACTGCTTTTCTCAGCTTCCCAGCTTTGCAGACGCCATGAATTACAGTGTTGAAACTGACATGATTCAATGGAATTCTCCTCCTAATCGTCTCTTTGTAAACCAATTCTAGGGTTTTGATATCATTTGATTTTACCAGCTCATTCAGTAGAGAATTACAGGACAAAACGGAGAGCCGAATTCCATAATCTCCCGATCTTTTGAAGGCTTCCACGGCCATATCAATCCTAGAGTTCTTTGCATACGCAGAAACTAACATATCTGCAATAACTGGATTGAATTTTGGGCGATCGCTCGAAACCGTGAGAGCATGGAAAATCACAGAGCAAGAAGAGTCATTCTCTCTGTTAACCATGGAATGTAGAAGCGACCTAATTTTGTCATACTTTTTGGCATTTGACAACAAGTGAAGAAGCCTGCAACAAAATTCAAGGTTATGGGGGGACCCGTTTTCCTTTTCGGACCATTTGAAAAACCTAAGCAACAATTCTTCGTCCACGTTCCATTGAAACAAAAACTCGAGCAGTTTATGATAACCCAAATCTCCAATTTCGCGTTTCAGCGCAGTCCAGTGTTGTTTGCTTATACTGTGACAAACCCTAGATTTGAATCCTTCCAAATCGATAGTATCAGAAGATGGAATGGGTTCTGCCGATAATGGAACAGGAGGCATGAGAGAACAGTCCGGAGATGAAATTGTAGACAGAGAAAGCTTTCCAGGAGATTGGAATCCATGGCTTAGGGCGGGCAGAAAGCAGTTGAACTTTTTCATGTATTAGGGTTTTTTCCAGTTCTAGAGATTTCGGACCATGGGGTCTGTGTAACTTGGGATGATTTGCTTGTTGAACCGAAGGGAAGCCATGGGCCGATCGCTCTCTCCCTCTCTCTCTCTCTCTCGGGCGTGCATAGCGAACTGATAGTAGGTGACAGTATGCTCTCTCGGGAGCACAATGTCTTTTGACCTGTTAATAGGACGATATTTCAGTTTAGGATAATTGTTTATACAGCGAGGACCGCATTTCTACGAAATGCGGTCATCAAGGTATAACGTAAAAAGGCAGTCCATCTTAAAAATCTAATTTTTTTAATAGAATTATTATTTAAAAAAATATTTATTTTTTTATATTCATGATCTCCATATTAAAAATTATATACCTTTACAAATTAAGTCCAAAAATCCATCTCACAAAATAGACTTTTAAGAGGTGACTCATTCCTACATGGACTCATAAAAATCTTGTCCGTTGTGAGAAGACTTGCATTTCCATTGCTCTTTATCCTCTTAGGTTAGGCTACAATAAAATGTATGCTGCTTTTTTGTTCCTCCTCTCTTGGAATACATACATTATCTTGTTCATTCACACGAACACATTTTATAGTATTTTAGAAGCATAAGGCCGCAATATAGTCTCCAACTCTACATTGCACATGCATGATAAAATTTCACTCACCCCCACTCACACATACAATTGACTCACTCACACACTCACATATTTTAGAATATTTCACTCGCATACAAGTCTTCAATGCAGACTCTCTTTCACTCACACACATTTTTAAATATTTCAGAATGCTAAAGCCCAAGGTCTACACTCTCTCCCACATACATGCACATAATGGAACTATAGAAGGCTAATGCTCAGTGTAGGAGTTGCATTCTCCCTCTCTGTTGTGTACATTCATTGTGTTATGCTTAGATTATAATTAAAGTTGATAACATAGTTGTATAATGTATTCATTTTATGCAAAAGGATTTTATACAATGAGATCATTTACCTTTGGTACAGAAATGTCACAATTACTTATAACCATCCGATGTGAAATCTGATAGCTTGGATGTGTTATAAAGTTCAATAAAATTTATTTTGAACTTTAAGCTTGGTCAATGAAATAAATGCAGCCACCCCATTTCACATCCAATTATGAATATTAATTATGACCACCTTGTACTAAAGGCAAATAGTTTTATTATATTATTTCTTTTATGTAAAAATGGAGACATAGACTGAAAAGAAACAACAAAAATTAGAGACCGGTGTTTATACTATGACAAAAGTATACATTTATTGCTCGCCTTTGATACATAAAGTTCACACTCATCTCTAGCTATAAGATATGAAGTTGGGTGGTTAAGAGCATGTCACATGCCAGAGAGTGTGCCATTGATTGAACTAAGCCTGACATATGGATAAATGACATGCCCCAACTGCCTGATTTTACATTTGATACGTGAGACTAAGTGAGACATTCTTGTATAAAAAATAAAACGTCTAATACTATTGGTCCACTTAAATATTCATGGGAAATGTTTATATACTTTCCCTACAGCATATAAGATATATGTTTTCCCTCCTATCCATCTGTTTAATTTATATCAAGTGAGCCACTCACCATTTGATCTAGATCCGACGTCTCAAAGTATTTTATTTTTAATCTTTTTCATACAAAGTTTAAGATTATGAAATTTGGTTCATACCATCTTCTCAATGGGGCGCACTTACAAAAAATATTAAAAAATATTTCGATAAAATATAATGTCAGGGGCGAGTTTGAGAGAGGAGCGAATGTCCAAAAATTGGTGCAAAAAATAATTATTAGAAAAAGAAATTAAAATAAAATGATGTAAAAATGTAACATTGTGATTGGGACCCTCTCAACAATCCATTCAAAATGGACGGTTGGATAAGGAGAAGTATATAAAGTCTTATGTTGACTGTTTCAAGCAATGACCGGCACAAATAACTTATATTTATTTAAGCGTAATTTTATCTCTCTAGCTGGATTTTAGTTTGTTTTATTTTGTTAGATTTGTTGTAGAGTGAGGATTAGAGTCATTTATTTATCACACTCTCAAACATTGTTTTGTGAAAACTAAAAATAATGTAATGTAAATTTTTAACTTATCATTCTCTCTCTAGTTTTTTCTGCAAAAAATAATAGGCTAGCTTATAATTTATCATGCTTATCCATGGGAGCCTTTCCCATATAAATATTTTTATTCAAGAGTCTCTTTTTGATTATTAAATTTGAAAATGATCTTTATATTTCATATTTTATTCTCAAATCCCCATTTTCTATAAGCATATATTTTATTTTAATTTTATTCATCTTTACACATCGGATTATGCTCAATTTTCGATGTGTATAGTTCTCAACATAACGGAGCCATAAAAAAAAAGTTAAAAAACATTTGGAATAAATAAAATTATCAAAATACCCTTTGCTATTTTTTAGTAATTTTTTATTATTAGATTTTTTTTTTTTATAGGTCCAGGTGTGTAATAGATGCACGATCGTAAGAAATATAAAGTTATAAACACACTAAAATTAGCTTAGCATGATGCGTCGAAAAAAAAAAGAAGGAAAATGCATAATATGCCCTAAAAAAATATATTGAATGTGTAAGTAGAGACATAGCAGACTATTATTAGATTTTGAAAATGAAATAGGAGTTTTCTGTAATTTTTTTTATAAACAGGACAACTCTCATATCGAGAGAGTTTTATCCAACTATCGGTGAAGAGCTGCAATAATTATTGCAGTGCGTTTCTTTCTTTGGATTTTCACTGGACGTGGCATATAATTGCAATGTGTTTTTCTCTCTAAATTATTTTAGAAAGAAAGCTAAAATGGTGTTCATGCAGCAACTCCTTTATCCCCAGCCTAGATTGAAGGATACGATTATTTTTAATTTTAAAAATATTATTTTGAACACTAAAGCACAAAATTATTTTTAATTTTATAAAGATAATTTTGTGTTTCGTCGACCTCGATATAAAATTGTCTATTTTTTTATTGTATTTTTAAATTTTAAAGTGTTTATTATTTTTATATGTAAATATATTTTATTAATATTAATTTTTTCAAAACATTCTAAATTATTTCTCCACTTTTTTCTGAACAAATTACCAAATCGAAGAACATTTCGAGTGGTGATGGAGTCTCAAAATTTAGAGAACTTTCCATACTGTAAAACTCTTTAATACCGTAGGAGTAATTTTTTGTGTGGAGACGTAGTTTGAATATTCATTTTTTGTGTGTGAGATGTAGTTTTAGTGTTAGATGTGTTTCAATATTTGAGAACTCTTTTTAAAAAAATCTTATGATGGCATGAAAAATTGTATTGGACTTTAAATATAAAACTGATTTTTTTTTTAATTACATATTTTTGGGTGCTTCGACAAAAGGAATCGAACTTGAGATGTGTTTCCAATTATATTACTAATGACATAAATATTTACTCCTAAATTTTAAATAAAAACTGAATTTTTTTTAATTACATATTTTTGGGTGCTTCGACAAAAGGAATCGAACTTGAGATGCGTTTCCAATTATATTGCTAATAACATAAATATTTACTCCTACATTTTAAATAAAGACAAAGCAATACAAACCGAGGCTCTAAACAATCAAATTAGAGCCCACCTTAAATAGTGTCGTGAAATATTGTTTCAATATTGGAAATCTTTGTGATAGCCTTAAAATATATTTTCATATTCAGTTATAAACTTCAAAGCTTAAAAAATACTGTAAATCGAACAATTCTATAAAAGCTTGAAAATTGATGGTCAAAAAGTGTGTTACAAGAAGCAATATTTCCAAAACTTGAATTTCATTTTTTTTCTAATGTCCATGTATCTTTATGTCGAGATGATTGATTTCAAAATATTTGAGCATCAAAACAACCTCTTCTAACGAAAATTTTGAGGCGGGCTCTAATTTGATTGTTAGAGCTTCGGCTCTGTATAAGTTTTTTCCAAGCAATAATTAAGTAAATATTGGTTTTTCTCACCAGATTTCCTCTTTATATATTTCCAACTAAACAAAAACTGAAATAAATGAAATAGAGATTTTCAAATATAAATAATTTTAGAAACTTAGCTTTAGTTTTATCTCCACATTGTGTTGCCGAGGTGGGCCAATGTAATGCTTGCATATCAAGTGGTCTTTGTGACAGTTCGTAAAAGGTTGGGGCCATCATGACAATTTCAAATCGTTCAAGGATACTTTCGTAAATGCAATCACTAGGGTTTTTTTTTGGCTCCCACTATAAGTTCAGAACGGATTGAGCTTCATTTTTCCCTGGTTTTCTCCTTCCATCTTGAAAGCTAGGGTTTTGCCTGGTACCCTCTCGCCCTACTCTTTAAATTATTATTAGTTCCATAAGATTCATATCTTAGCCAATAGTTTTGTGGATCATTTGTTTCAATGCCGATTGGTTAAGTGGTTATTAGATGAAATTTGGTTTTTAAATCAGCTTGGCACAACTTTTGTTTGATGAATGAATCAGTTTTGGTGATTCTGAAAGTAAGTTCCTTAGGCGATATTAAGAATTAATTTGTTTAGAAAATAACTTGGTTTTATTGCCTTGTAGATTTTGCATGATATTTCTTTGAATAATTAGATAAATATAAGTAATGAAAACATGTTTCAGAAAAGGAGTCTGACATGATAGCCTGCAGTCGATGAGAAAATTGATGGAACAAATAGTTGAACAATTACGTGAATCACCTAATTGGTAGTTGCTATCTCCAGATTTAGGTCGAGTATTAATAAAATGACTGAAGTATAGGCTTAAAATTATAAACTCGGACTAAAAAATATAGGCTGAATTAAGCGCAAATGGGTGAAATTATAATTGCATCTATGTTTCAGAAGCGTGAGGATCGATGCGATAATTTCTACCTTGGTGAGTTCCGGAATGTAGTTTTGGTTGTATGTGACAAATGGTTTTGAAAAGTACTGGATGATCATTTTGTAATACCATTTAATTTTCTTTATATTTTACTAGTTGTTGGTTTCTATAGATTTGAATGCATATCATTTACTTGATTTGGATAGAGAAGGGGAATTCAAATAGTTACTAGAATTTTCTCTTCAGACGAAAGATACGGAAGCAATTCAAGTTTGAGATTAGGCCCATATCAAATGTCCCCTTTTTTTTTTCTGGTCCACTAAAATGTAAATGAATAGCTGAATTACTTTTATTTACCATGACTCTGATATTCTTCAAAATTAAAAACAGTGGCTGTTATCTTCAAAACAGAACAATGTAATAATATATTTGAAATATTTTTTTGTTACCTCATTTTCATTTTCTGATGTCTTCTCCTTTTCTAATTTTCCTTTGTCGCATATTTTTTGAGCCCCGATCTGCTTTAGATGTTTCTTGAACCTGGTTTTTTTCTTGATAAATGTTAACTTTGTATTAAAAAAGTAAGAGTTTACAAAAAGTATTAAAAAAATGACAGTTTGTGGGTGATATATTAGAAAAGGCAGCCCACATGTCGGGTGCTCCGAATACAACCGAAACAATATAGGGAACTAGGAGAAGCATGAGAGAAAAGAGTTAGAGAGGGAATAGAGAGAAACAATTAAGAGGTAAAGGAAAGAAAGGAGAATAGATTACATGCCAAGTTCCTTACAATTCTAAAAGAAAAAGATTCAAAAGGTTCTATGCTGTCTTCGTCTTGAGCGAATCAATCGCCAGAAATTGCTTGTATAGCCTTTGTAGTGCACTGCAGAACTATGGGGTGAACCATGCGGGACTTGAGTTGGGGTTCCGGAAACTTAGAAATAGGGTCTTTGAGATTGTAGATTTATCTTCTGCTGTTATCTTGGAGTGTTGCTAGGACCCGAAAAGTTTGTTTAGAGAAGAGACATAGAACAAGAAAGGGATTTTCATTGCAGCAGAAGTGAGTGCTTCTTCGGTCAAATGTGAATGGTAGCTGCTTCTAGTTAGGAACAGTGGTAGCCGGTGCAAGGTATAAGCTGCAGTGTAAGTTGAGCAGGCCTTCCTGTAATGAGTGTGAGAGGTGAAGGAGTGCTGATAAAGCATGAGGCTTTGAAGTATCTTCTACCTGTAGTTGTTCATGAAATCCTAACCATGCCTTTGTACGGGATTGGTGGAGAGTGGGGTCTGAAATGGCCATAAAGAAGGGCAACAGAACTAGGTACTAAGACACGAGCCCTACTAACTGGTTGCTGAGAATATTTAGGGAAGAGAGATGAGTATGAGTTTGAGGATTGAGAGGGAGATATTAGAGGGGAAGTGGAAAAGAGAAAAGAAGTAATGCATAGGGGAGAGAAGGGAGAGGCTACAAGGGGAAGTAATGGTAGGGGTGTGGAAGAGAGTGGAGAAATAGCTCCTATTTAGGGCTTGCTGTAGGGGAAGCAGATGTTTAGGGGGAAGATGAGATAGCAGAAAAGCGGAAGTGAGAATAGAAGAGTATAAATGTTAGGGTGAGGGGGGGTGGGAGATGTGCGAGATCGAGAGGGACATACCTTTGAGAAGTCGAGGAAGACCGTCCAAACTTTGCTGTAAAGGTTTGCTTTGATGGCAAGCAAAAATCCTGAATTGTAGTAGAGGGTGGAAATATGGAGAGTTTTCTTGATTTCCATATTCTATTTTTTCCTTTTCCTTTTTTTTTTGTTTTTTCGTTTTTTTTTTTTTCTATTTTTTTTCATTTTTTTTGACTGTTCTCTTTTTTTTTCCTTTCCTTTTTTTTCTGTCCTTTTTTTTTGGGGGGTCAAATGTGATAGAAAGAGTTAGAGGGGGGAGATAGAAAGAGAGAGAAAGAAAAGGGAAGGTGAAACTGTCAAGCTGATAATTGGGCTCCCATGCCTAGAGCTGCGTCTTCTTTTGCCAATCTGTCTGCCTCAGAATTGGCTGCTCGGTGGATATGCGTGAAGGTGACCTGAGGGAGAGAGCTGCACAAGAAGTGAATATGCTCTAAAGTCGAAGCTAGCCCTCACGGGGGCTGTTGCTCTTTGGGTGGCCCAAAGAAGGGTGTTGGTGGAGTCAACTTCTACAAGGATACCTTGAGAGTTGATTCCCAAGTGGGCCACCCTCTTAAGTCCTTCAAGCAAAGCCATAGCCTCTGCATAAGTGGAGTCCTAAATCCCAATAAACTCTGAGAAGGTGAATGTAACGGTTGTACTGTTTGCAAGCAAGCCACCTATGCCCGAAGGTCCTCGGTTTCCTAACGAAGACCCATCAATATTCAACGTTAGGAATCCCAAAGGGGGTGGAGTCTAGAGAGGTCTTGGTTTGTCTGCTCGGGTTGATACATTGAGGAGCCCAGTTATTTAGAAAGTGTTGTATAGGAATTGTAGAGTATATAGGGATGTTTTTGGCCTAGAGAAAAATGAGAGCAAAGGAGGAATCAAATATAGATTGAATGTTTTTCAAGGTGCCTCTGAAAGTTCAAGAATTTCTTTTTATCCATAAACGCCAGATTAGGGTGGATACTGAAATGTGCCAAAGCTTTTTCCCATTTTTAGAGAAAGGGGGGGAAGAAAAGACTCAAAGAGACTATTTAGGTTTTGAGGTGTCACCCACTTCAGATCAAACAGTTGGAGGAGGGATGACTAGAGGGTGAGAAAGACTTTGCAGCGGATAAAGAGGTGTGGAATGGATTCCTCTTCCTCGAGGCACATAATGCACCGGTAAGGGAGAGAGAAGCCTCTCCTTTGGGGTTGATCTAGGGTAAGCGTCTTTCCTTGGAGGACCCAGATGAAGGCCTGTATTTTGTGGGGAACAGGGAGGGACCAAGAAAATTTGAGAAGTGGCTTAAGGTTCTGATTGGGGAGGAGTGAGGAGTACATGGAGGAGACGGAGAATGTTCCCGAAGGAGCCACATACCAAATTAGTGCGTCCTGTTTAGAGAGGGTAGAGTAGCTGGGGTCTAGGATTTGGAGTAGAGATAGCAAGAGATCAGAATCTTGATCCGTGAGATTTCTTCTAAAAATTGGTGTACAAACCAGTTTGGAGCCATTGAAATCTACGTAGTCCGCTACGAAGGCAACTGAAAGAGGAGAATTTCCAATCCACAAATCAGACCAAAAGAGTATGCAAGAGCCATCTCCTAACCTATATCAGGTGCGTTGTAGGAAAGTGTTCCTGGTTGTGGAGATGCTTTTCCATGCTCTTGAAGATCTATGAGGTGGGGCTCTAAGCAGCCATTCCCCATTGCTAGGACCATATTTCGCTTGAATGACTTGTTTCCAAAGGAGTGGGTAGGGAGACAAAAATTTCCACCACCATTTGCTAATAAGGGCAAGATTCATTGTTCTAAGATTTTTTATTCCAAGTCCCCTAAATTTGTTGGGGAGCATACAATGTCCCAGGCCACTAGATGAACTTTCTTTGTTTCTTCCACTCCAGACCACAAAAAATCCCTCATTAATTTCTCTAAGCACTGGATGATCGAGATGGGGATCTGAAAAAGGGACATGTAATAAATTGGGATACTAGCCATGGTAGCTCGAATGAGAGTAATTTTGCCCCCAAGAGATAGAAATCTTTCCATCCAGGAGGCAAACTTCCTAGTGAATATTTGAATAAGACCATCCCACGGTTCCTTTCTAGGTTTTCTTAGGCACAATGGGAGTCCTAGGTATGAGGAAGGTTGCTTGAACCTTGTTTTGATATTAATATAGGGTTTGATCTTCTGTTACACATACTTGGAAACCTGCAGCTCATATAGGTAAACTACCCTAGAGGCCACTTGATCTACAAGTATGACTCAATATGATTGAAGGGCATGGTTGGTTTTCTAAAGTTGTTTAAGAATGTTTTGCTAAATGTGACTTTAGGGTCTCTTGTTTCCCAATATAAGATCAAATATGAGTAAGCCTTGTTTTCTCTGCCTTTCTCCTGTCCAAATCATAGGGTTTTAGTAGGTATTTTCTTCTCTTTTTCTCTACCATTCAATTTTCTGTTGCCATAGCTCTTTTCTTTTAACCATAGTGATCTGTTGATTATTGCTTGTGATGTGGATTGATAATTGACAATGATATTGTTAGATAAACTGTCTTAAATAAGTTGCCCTTTTTTCTTTTTTTTTTCTCTGATAAGTCAGTTCCTTACTTTTTGATAGAATAATTCTGCTTTCTGCACTACTATGATTCTCTATTTCGAAAAATTGTTGAGTTAAAGTTCCATTCTAGGGTTAATTCTGTGGAATTTGCGCCATGGAGTACTGATTATTATTGTGTTTTCGGTGTCAATAGAAGGGTTTTATTTGTTATTTTATTGGTGTGTGTTTATTGAAGAAGAGATGGAAAGATCGGGCAAGTGGTGTCAATATTTTTGTATGATAAATTTGAGCTTTTCAAAAAAGTTTCAATTGTAACAATTTTAGTTTGCCATGATAATTTGCAACCAACCTTCTGTCATTCACATAATGCAGTGATTTTTGGAAAAGAAATTTAAATAATGAGGCAATGACAGTTTATGGTGATAATTAGGTAAAGGTCATAAATTATTTACACCTGTTATTATTGAAGTTGTCAATTGACTTTTGACATGCAGGAGCATGTTTTGACATTTGCAAAGCTTGAATTATGTATTTTTATACACAAAAATAAAAAAGTCTATTATTGTTTGTAAAGGCAGTGCAACTTTTTGTCATTAAAACAGTGATGCACATGAAAAATCGTACCATTTTTACCCGTAATCAGAAATTACGTAGTTTTTTTTTAACATTATAAACTACCAGTTTTGAATTTGTAAGATGGAGGCCGAGGATCTCTCTGATCCTCGTCCTGTATGTTGATTATACTATGAGTGTAGTAGTTGTTTATTTAAATCAACATATAAAGTTTAGTTTCTTGATACCTATTCAAATTTTCTTGTATGTATGAAATCTCAGCATGTTTCAGTGTCTTCACATACCTGTATGGTTGTGCATTTTGATGACTTTAGGTTACTGGTCATCAGGTTAATTATGGTGAAGCATAACAATGTAGTGCCCAATGGGCACTTCAAAAAGCATTGGCAGAACTATGTTAAGACATGGTTTAATCAACCGGCTAGGAAACAAAGGAGAAGGATAGGTTTGGCATTCCCCTCTCCCCGCCCCTCCATTTCTCCTTTGTAATTTACTGTTTTGTTTTGGTATTTGTGAAATGAGAGAAGATGCAAGCATCCTTCTGTTGCAATAGAAATATATCATGATTTAATATGGGAGCCATTGTATTGAACTTGCAGCCCGCCAAAAGAAGGCAGTCAAAATTTTTCCCAGGCCTACTGCAGGGCCTCTTCGTCCCATAGTCCATGGGCAAACTCTTAAATACAATATGAAACTGAGGGCGGGGAGAGGCTTCTCTCTTGAAGAACTGAAGGTATTATAACCTATACCTTTTGATTATTTATCTTTTTCTAGAACGATACATGCTCATTATCTTCTCTTTCTAGAAAGCTTACATGGTAGTCCGTTACAATAAAAAATGAAATCTATTTATTTTCTTGTATGCTTTTTGTGTAATAGGCGGCTGGGATACCAAAGAAGTTGGCTCCAACCATTGGCATCGCAGTGGATCACCGCCGCAAAAACCGATCGTTGGAAGGATTGCAAACCAATGTCCAACGTCTTAAAACTTACAAAGCCAAGTTGGTTGTCTTCCCAAGGCGACCTAAGAAATTCAAGGTACTTAGAATTGATATTATTGTCTATTCTATACATTACATGAAAAGAAAGACTACTGTCAAATGAAAATTAGAAAAAAGTAGTTTTCCCTTCTATCATTTCATGTTCTTGTTGGCTCGAACTTTTCAACTTATATTGCATATCATGGGTCTTATGGTACATATTCGAAAACAGTTTTTTAATGACCACCCTTTACACTTTCTCTACTGAAATTTTAATTGCTTCTTTTTAATCCCTCTTTTTCTATCATAGCCATTCAGCACAAGTTATAGAACTACAACCATTTCAACACTGAACCTTAAACTTGGCAGATTATCCAGGGTAGGACCTTGAGTGTTCTATCACTATCATCCAGACAATGGCAGTACGAGATACTAGAGTATTTGACCTGTTAGGTTCATGTTGTTATTTTTCCTTTTCTTTGCTCAGAAAAATAAGGTGGGGTGTGAGGGGTGAAGGCATAAGCAAGGCCTATGGAAAAATATGAGAATGGGCTCTTATGTTTAATGTATGGGGTTTTTAATTAGATAAGTAACCTAGTTAATAGTACAAAGAATAAGGAGAAATATATTGGCTATGATCTAGAGGAGTATGTTAGTTTGCTAGTGGTGTGCTTGTCACATTTATGCTAATCTGTGTAATATCTTTTCACATCTCAAGCCCTTGGAGCCAAGCCAATGGATGTTTTGGTGTTGTTGTCTAACATCCCATTATGTGATAAATTGCCTACCGGTGATGGGGTGACTTCCCATGATAGGTAGTTTTTACATGATAGATGAATGTCTCATTGTCAATGCTATGAGACTTTTTTTTTTGAAAAGAAAAAAGATGTTAAGATACTCATCTGCAAGCCCAAGATTAGTGGTAATGGGATATATTATGAGAATTTAGGTCAATGTTTACTGAAAGCCAGGTTCTTGACATGGATTGGGAGGATTTGCACCTTATATGACTGTCTTCTCCTTCATGATTAAGGGTTTCAATTTAAACTTGTTACAGCCCATATGATGATGCATGGGCAACTATATGAGGTGAGAGGGGGAGATATAGAAAGACAAAAGTCTAAATGTTTTGGGCAATTTTATTTTAGATGAGATCCTTTTCTTCAGGAGAAAGATAAAACAGTTAGGGGAGAGACCAATTGACTTTGCCAATGCTAAATTCTGAAATAAATTTAAACTTGTAAAACATTGGATGTTTGTGTACTCTTAATTAACAAAATTCATACAATTGAAATATCCTACCTTTATCAATATATATTTTGACTTAAAATCTTTAAAATCTCTGAATAAAAGAAATCCAAGGAGAATGAGATGTCATTTTCATATGTTTCTGCAGGCAATTTTATATACCCCCTTCTAGCGAATTCATATACAAAATTCACTTGGATAAAGATGAAAATGCATCCCTTAAGTAGACCATCCTTAGGAAGGATAACCCAAAAAAAACAAAAACGTTAACTATTTATTAAATTGGAGAATTTAGTCTTGTATACGTAGGTAAACCTGATTTATCCGGATGCCTTCGTGCATGAGTGAGAAGAATATGGATTTCTTTGGTCCCTTATAAACAAGAAATAAACAAGAAAAAACTTGGAATCCCAGTAGATAAGGAAATCTTAGTATATAAGGAGAGAGGTATTAAAAATGTAGTGGTTTGGAACTTTGAATTAGAGCATAGAAAACCAGGTCCCAAATTACCTGATGAATAGAGAAAATTGAGATAGGTATTAGGGATTTAATGAAACTGATCAAAGGATTGATTTGAGCCTGTTTTGATGGGTTCAAATTCACATATGTTATCATCTCATCTATGGAGAAACAGATGTTTCAGCCAAGTGTCCTAGGGGTCACTCCCGACATTTCAAACTTAACACTGGGATACCCCTCTTCAACAATTTGTGCATGCTTTTGAATTTTATTTTAAAGAGATCTTCATCATGAATGCTGTCCCACTATATAAGGCTGCTTGTGTGTGTGTGTGAGGAAGAGAGAGAGAGAGAGAGAGAGAGAGAGAGAGAGAGAGAGAGAGAGAGACACACTAGTGTCGTAGTGTGTGTGTAGTGTGAGAGAGAGAGAGAGAGAGAGAGAGAGAGAGAGGGATGAAAATGTGCCCATGCATTTATTCTGATGAAAATATTCCTTGTGGAAAGGTTTTCAAGTGAGATTTGCACCTGGAAATGGATTGATTCAGTCACCTATATTTGCTTGTATGTAGGAAAATATATGTTGTTTGGAGGTTTATTTTATGACAACCATTGCACCATGTCTGTGTTCTAGGGTGGTGATTCAAGTGCCGAGGAGTTGGCTACCGCCACACAAGTAAATGGCGAATTCATGCCAATCACACATGAGAAGCCAACGGTTGAGATGGTTCGAATCACAGATGAAATGAAGGCCTTTAAGGCCTATGACAAGCTTCGAGTTGAACGCATGAACCAGCGTCAACTTGGGCCTCGTTTGAAGAAGGCGGCTGAAGCTGAGAAAGACGAGAAGAAGTAGAAGTGAAGATGTTGGTATCAAGGGTCTTACATGAAATATGGACTAAAATTTTTGTTTCTTGTTTCGCAGACCTGTTGCATAGGATGAGTGAAATTTGCAGACATCTAGCAATTTCTGAGGAATGATTTTGCTACTGTTTTCTTCATGTCACATTGTGGGCATATAAACTCCCTCTCGCCTTCTCTCTCCCCAACCCCCTCTGTTAGAATTTCTTAATTTGAAGAATGATTGTCGGATTTTGCTACTGTCAAGTGTCCTACAAGCACATACTTAAACCTGTGGTATTCAGCATAAAATGTTCCCTCTCTCTCTCGCTCACATTTGGTTTCCACCCCTGCAATCACTCTCGTGTACATATAAATGGCCAATGGACCTCTCTCATCTCCATCTTATAACATTTTCACATTTTGTGTACAAATTCATAAGATAAACTTAGATTGGAAGTCCTGAATCGTTCTTTTAACCAAGCGTACTGTTTGTCCTGACAAACGGACTTAGGGATAATAAAAGGCTTGATGACACTTATTTCATATTTTTGGGGTTGTTAAGACCGAAGGTGTTTTGTTAGATGACCTATGAATCGAACTTGGGCTATGGTATTTTCTAATGTAAGCTATCAAGCACCCAAGCTTAAGGCTGATTCAATCTTAAGCATGATTCTTGATACATGACCACAACTTGCTCATTACAAAGAGTGTTTAATCTCTCATTACATAGGTTTAGTCATGCTCACCTATGAGTAGAGCTGCCAAGGGACTTCTGGTTTGGGATGGTGTTCAACTAGGTAGGGCACCCTATAGTTGGACTGGGCTAAGGGTACAAGGGTCAATTAAATCTTGGGCTGAGGCCGTGTGGGTCGTTCCCAGAAAATGAGTATTTTACAATCTATTTGCTGTGTTTTATGTAGTGTATATACTATATACTATGCTGTATACAGTATATATATTACTTTAGTATAACACTACGTTGTATATAGTATATTGTGTACCGGAAGGAAGTATGAAACTTTTACGTCAACCATATATAAACTTTTTTCAAGAATTTCAAGTATTTATAGATTTGTTCTTATTTATATTGTTTTTGAAATTTTAAAGTTTATAATTATAGTTGAATATGGATTTTCAAGCTATTATAAGGTATCCCATATGTGAGTTACATCTTTTGCAAAAAAAAAAAATTTAAAGATGCGCTTTACTTGTATAGTATGTGGGCATCTTACACAGACCTCACCCTAAACTTTTTCCTATATATTACAGTTTAGAGAAAATAATGTATGGATCCATTATATTTAATACTATTATGAAATTATTGTGAAATTTGCGCTATTTTCGGTTTTTCAAAAACTGACATCGCACTCTTTCAGGTTACTAAGTTATTACAAAATTATTGTGAAATTTGCGCTATTTTCGGTTTTTCAAAAACTGACATCGCCCACTTTCCGGTTACTAAAAATTGAAAGATAGCTTTTTGTTTTTTGAAAAACCAAAAATGTGACTTTTTCGATTTTTCAAAAATTGAAAATATATCTTCGTTTTTTTAAAAAACGAAAACACGACAACTTCGATTTTTAAAAAACCGAAACATTTGAACATTTCGGTTTTTCAAAAACTAAAGAGGGCAGTTCCGTTATTTTTTTTAAAAAATGTTATGAAGTTGAAAAAATGGGTATACATGTAATAATGAAAATTTTACAGTAATTTCGTAATAATGCTAAATATAACAGATATATATGTTATTTTTTTTATAATATATAAAAACTTGTGTATGTTGTGAGAATCAGGCTCGAGCATGGGTGTGGGCTTGGGCTTGGGCTTGGGCTTGGGCTTGGGCTTGAACGGTTAGCAGTTGACGATAACAATATTGCATCTCAAGTTTGATTCCTACTATTGAACTATCTGTGAGGTTTGTATAAGATATCAATCTTATACTATTGAAGTAGAGTGCATCTCAAAACTATGCCGAAAATACAATTTCAGTGCTACAAAGCCTTGCGATGATATGAATATTTCTTGATGTCCCCAATTATGAAATTTAAAATTTCAGAAATGATGATGATCAAGCAAAATTTATATATACTAAAAATCTTGAAAATGGGCGGTCTAGATAATATGTTAGAAGATGAATTATTTTAAAACTATAAATTTTTTTAATTTATTTATTATTATTAAGTTTTATCATTCCTATGGATCACGAGGTCGAGATGATCTATTTAAGGGTTTGTTTAAACAACCTTTTTAAGTGGGTTTTTTAGGTGCATGTTGCTTGTACAGTAAAAGGTTGACACTTCTGTACGAGCACCGACTCAATTTGAGAATCTCTCCCATGGTTGAAACGAGAGGCCAAAACCAGAGCTATAAGTGCGGGAACTTTCAAATTGAGAACATCCAAGGTTAAGAAACAGGTAAAACTGCTTTATTTCTCTATCCCCTCGGGGCGGAAATTTTTTTTGGTGTCAATTAGAGCGCGAGCGGCCTCTCCTATTTATTTTGGTTTTTTCCTCCCGTCTCCCCCATTTACACTCTCCTATTCATTTGGTTTTCCTCTCTTTCCTCTCCAACTTCATCGCCCCCAAAACGATAAACCCAAGCCAAACTCTGTTAGTTTTACTTCCCTTCTTCATCTATAAGCATTGATTTGAGAGTTTTGGAGCACAACAGGTATGAATCTCAAGCTTGATCATGTATTTCTATAATTTTGCAAAGTTTGTCGTCATTTTTACTTGTTCTTTTGTCTAGTTTATCTTTTTCTCCCTGCGAAATTTAGGTCAATCTCTCTCTTGATTGATGTCTATGGATCTGAGTTCCATGCTTGTGTCGCAATGTGCAAAATGTTATTTCATATATCAATTGTTTATTTTAACATCTTTGAGGTCTTATTTTTATTCCTATTTGTGATATGCAATTAAGTTTGTCATGGTTTGGATTCTATGACTATTTAGAGGAAGTCACATTGTGCTAAGTCTAATTGTTCTTGTTACATGATCGTTACATTGCTGGTTGTTTCATTTCAGGGCCATTGCTGTTGTGTTTGTTAATTGTTTGAAGTAATGTTTTTTTTGAGAGAGAGAGAGAGAGAGAGAGAGAGAGAGAGAGAGTAGTCAATAAGGAACTGTCCGTCGAGTTTAGGGGCTGGAAGAAGAGGACAATGAGTGAGGACAAAGTCAGGACTGTCCGTGAATTTCTCAGGTTATTCTCGTTTACGTTGAAGTAGACCTTCTCTCTCATTCATCATTTGGGTTTTGGGTCTCTCTCTCCACACACACATACACACAAAGAAGCGTCAAGAAGGGAAGGCAAAATTTACTCTTTCTCAAATTGAATGCACCACATTGTTTGTCAGTCATTTTAAGCTCCTTTTCTTTTTTTCTTTTTCTTTTTTTTTCTCCCTCTTTTCATAAACATCATGTGTAGGAATTTTTATAAAATTTTTATGACAAATGTGTTCCAATTTGTAGGGAGAAGAAGAGGGAAAAGAGAACAATGATGGATAATTTCAGGGATTCCGATAAATATCTCAGGTGTGTTGGTCAATCCAAAACAAGATAAAAAAGGGATTTCTAGACCTAAAAATAGGTCATCTTCTAACACATTATCTAAACCGTCCATTTTCAAGTGTTTATGAATCTGCTTGATCATCACCATTTCTGGAACTTGAAATTTCATAATTGTGGGCAACAATAGATTTTCATATCATTGCAAGGCTTTGCGGCACCGAAACTACATTTTCAGCATAGTTTTGAGGTCCACCTTACTTTAATAGTATAAGGTTGATACCTTATACAAACCTCACCCAAAAAAAAAATATACTCATTTGGAATAGATTCCAGGCAAAGGGCGATAGGTGCTACAATATGACATCTTGTATTTAATTCATGTCATGAGTAACGAAATTTATCCTTGTTGATTTACCAAAAAAAAAAAAAAATGATGTATATAGCAAAAACTTAGATCGTCATCATTATCAAAGCCTTTTTTCAAGTCTAGAAATAAATCTCTTGCTTGGTTCAATTGTCCATAGTTTTGGCAGAAAAGTTCAGATTTAGCTTTTGTTTGGTGTATTGCTTTTGTCTTTTGGTTTCTGTTATAATTTTGTGGTGACTTATTTTCCAGAGGATAAGTGTTTGGTGAGTTAGCTGACTCACCTGCAGATGTGTGTCCCCCTTCGAAATCCATCTGAAAGATGGATTTTGGATCCAATTGGGGTTTGTTAATCTCAACTATGATGATGATCATGAATCTAGAGTTTTCCCTTTTTTTAAAAATAAAAAAAGGCACCTTGTTTAGACGTCCATCTCTAAGATTGTGGTCTGATGTATAAGGGGATCCGCAAGTTTTGGTGAGCCGGCTGACTCACCAAAACCGAGACCTTTTCCAAGTTATATTAAAATTATTGGAAAGCTTTCCATGGCATCTTATAGCCCCTCTAATATATCATTGTGCATCCTTTTTTTGATAGATCAGTGCGTCCTAAACTTTTACAGGTTTTGGAACTTAAAATGCATCATAGTCCATATACCAAACCTATGATTTCTGTGATCAAAACATCATCTTTTGGGGATTTCTTGGTTCGATTTTTATGCATGATATCCACTTAGTTTTCTGGTTCTGATTTCTCTCCAAATTGAAAATTTCAGTTGACACTCTTTCCTTTCTCAAAGCATTAATACATCTGGTACCCACATTTCATAATACATATCTTGGAAAATGGGAGCTTGTACTATTTTATGTGCCTTATATAGCTTATGTGATGCAGACTTACTCAAATACACATATTGAACAGACTAGAAAAATTGCTTTGACTAACACACACACACACAAACACACACGCACAAACACACAAGCCGTTGTTTAGGTTTTGCTTGTCGTTCCTTTTAAACAGTAAAGTGGGATTGGGGAAGAAGGATCGCCTGTTCTGGAAGCAAGTAGGCAAGGCTTTGTTATGCACCTATGCAGTGTTTGGAGCTGCCTGGTTATGGAATGAAACCTCCCCTCTTGGTTGGTGGACTCTCAAACCCCGGCCAAAGGTAAATTCGATGATATTTATGAATGTGTTTTATTAGTTATTGAATGACTACCTACGAGACAACAATATTATTTCTTCAATGAATTTGGCATTTTTACTCGCTTTATCATTCATGAATGGGTGGAGTAGGTGAAAAGTACTTGGAGAATGTTATCCTGGGAAAACCCCTTATTAAAATTGCATATTGAGTATCCTGAGGAGTTTTCTCTGCTATGCACCAGTTTCTCCATGGGGAAAGTTGGGGTGGTCTATATGTGCCCTTTGTTGTCGAGCCTCTGAGGCCTCATGTTAATAAGTACACAATAGTGCTTCAGTGGCGCCTCGAAATTTTTTCCTACCATGTCAATTCAAACAAAGCAAACACAATAGAAGGATTAAGGATAAAATTAGGGAGTGGACAAGATAAGAGATAAAATAAGAGCTACTGTCATATCATGGGCTAGACTAAAGTGAGAAAAGAGTTTTGGGAACACTCAATATCTAACTCTGAAAATCACTGGAAGGATATAGCTTACATGAAGACAAGATGAGAAAACTCGTAGATGGACTCCACCACCTGAAGGCAAGTTAAAAATTAAACTCTGATGGCAGCTTGTAAGGGATACCAAGTCTAGCAGGTGCAGGGGCATAATTACTAAGTGACCATCTAGGCACGATTTTGCTAAAATGGTCTGCTTCAGAATCTAAAAACTTGGCAAGTCTGACTCGGATGTCCTTAGATTTATTGGACGCAGCACATAGCCAGTCTGGATGACCACATCTGGATTGAGTTTGACCAAGTCTGCCTGAGTCTGACTAAGTCTTAATTTAGTATGTTTGGGTCTTTACAGGAACTGCTGATTGTGGTCCAAGTCCTGACCGGTTAAACTCAAGATTGGCAGGGCCAAAGTTGGCCTCACCTCTTGTCCTGCTTGTTTTTTTTTTCTCCAGGTAAATCAGTGGGGATGACGATCCCCTGCCCGTTTTTTGTTTTTATTAAAATTTAAAGAAAGTTTACATGAAGGAAAGATACATATACGAACATTACACCACCCTTTCTAGGGGAATGGTGGCAGACTCCCTCAAAATGCACGGAAAAACGTCTGGGGGACAGGCTCGCCAGACCGTGGCTTGAGCCAAAGATGCTGCAGACTTGGCCAGGCAATCAGCAGCCGTGTTCGCCTCCTGGAAGACGTGTGATATCTGCCACTGCCTCTTGTCCCGCTCCATGCCCTGTTCTGCATTTTCAAACACTGCTCTGCACTTTCAAACACTGCTCTGCACCATTGTATATCTGTGAACCAATGAAGCAGAGGCAAGGTCGTTGCTTATTGGACTTGGAAACTTCTAAAAATCAAGCTGGGCGTCCATCATCACTAAGGGTGATTCCTGAAATGTGATCACTTGGGGCAAAAGGGAAAGGGTTTGCCTTTGGTATCTAAACAACCTTTTTGAAGTGATATGCAATCGTCTAGCAAAGATCAGAAACTCGTTACTGCCTATGTGGAGAGAATCGAATGAATTTGCAGGTGCCTTTGGCGAAGGAAGGAATAGAACTAGGTTTAATCCATTAGAGAGTCTAGTGCATATATAATCAGTTTTGTAAAGGATTTCTATAAATTTACATTTTTTTTTTTTTTGCATTAATGAAAGTACAGTTCTCATTTCTTGAAAAGAGTTGTAGCCATAGAGAAAATTTATCAAAATTTGGCACTCTTAATTAATGATATTGGAAGTTATTTTCTTTTAGAAAAGTATACTATGGGGTTTTTCTTGCCATGCTATGGGAAGGCATGATTATCATAAAAGCTAGTAAAATTTGCATGTTATTAGGTTTTTTTTATGGCGATTTACTTAACATGCCACAATTCTCAGACTTCCATGAAGCGCCACCATCCTAGAATCATTTGATATGTTTTTTTCATGAGTTTTGTGGTTCTCATAATTGTTTTTTATATTTTTGAGCAAAATAGGAAGAGTGGGAGATGGCTCATCTCTATGAGCGTATAAAGTACCCATACCCAGGAGATGAAGAAGCAATGAAAGAGTTCATCGCAAGTGGTGGGGCAATTGGCACCGCAATTGGACCCAAGGGAATCATGGATGATGGAAATGATTCTGAAAATTTTCCGAAGAAACCCCAGTCTAAGAAGTTTGAGCAGGAATCTCAAAAGCTTTGGTTTAGGATGCGCAATGAGGTTATATCTGAGCTTCGTGAAAAAGGTTTTGATGTCGAGTAACTGGAAGGACAAATCCGTTAGTCTTTGAGCATGAATCTCAGAAGGTTTGGTTAGGATGCACAATGAGGTTATATCTGAGCTTCATGAAAAAGGTTTTGATGTCGAGTAAATGGAAGGACAAATCCGTAAGTCTTTATAGCAGTGACTTAAGGTGGTTTACTTAATGTAGAAATATGAACTCTGTTGAATTCTTACTGTGTTTTTTTGTGATATATGATAATGCAGTATCTTTCAAATTGAAATTTGGCCACTTTTATTTGGATGAGTAGTTCTTCTGTTCTTTTCAGTATTCTCACTCTAAACATAAAACATCATTTTGATCAAATGTGGGCAAGAAGCAAGAGAAGCTGAACTAAGTTTTCATTCATTCACGAGTTCTTCCTCTTGCTCTATCCACTACAAACGGATCTCTCCCTCTCTCTCTGTGCGTCCGATTGAGGTGCAAAGCTGTCGTACACTCTGGTCTTTTTGTGCAGTTAGAGGGAGAGAGGATCCAAATGCTTTTAACTAGGACGAAAATCTCCCTTCTATTTGAATTTATTTCATTGAAATTTTACAAATATACACTCCATAGTTTTCCTGTTTCCCTGTCCTATTTTATGTTCTCTCTTATATTATCCAACATTGAGTTTCTTGCACACAAAACAAGATGGAAAAAACCATTCACCTTCTCCAGCAAACTGTCCAAGCCTTCGGAAAATACCTCCACAATCTCTTCTACTTCTTTTACAGCCTTCCTCAACTCCTCTCTTTCCTCTTCATCACCAATAATCTTATTCTGTTTCTCACTTCCGTGCTCTATAGCTCCCAAAAACTTTCTAACACACTCATCCATGACCTTCAACTCTTCCAAGACTACCCCTGACCTACCTGAAAATCGCCCCAATTCTTTCAAAACTACCCTCGACCCACTGAAAAACCATCCCTATTCTTCCAAAACTACCCCTGAACGATCCAAAAACTGCCCCAATTCTTCCAAAACTACCCCTGACCGACTTGAAATATTCGCCATTTCTTTGCAAATTACTCCTGACCCACCGAAAAACTGCCCCAATTCTTCCAAGACTACCCCTGATGCCAACAAGGAGGCAGCAACTCCCCTGGTGAAAAAATGGGTTATAGTCTCGACTATGTATAATGTCTGTGCATGCAAAGACTTGGACAGGGGAGGGCATTTCTGGGGATGGGTTGAACTTTGGCATGTCCTAGACTTTCTTGGAGGTCTCAACATCCATTGCAGGAGGGCTTTGTGGGCTCCGTTGAGATTTTCCAGTGACTGGAAATTCGAAATCTGGTGATCGATAAGGTGGAGAGCATGTTTGATTGAGAGGCATTTATTTTGGAGCCTCGAGAGCGTTGAAGAGATGGAATTGCACAGATCTAAAAGCTCGAGAGAGTTTTCGAGAAACGAATGGAACCATTTTTCTGGTACGTTGGAATTTGGGACCATGGCTGTGGCTTTAGTATAGGTCATGCTGAGGATTTCCATGGCCTGGCAAAGCCATGACATGGTTATGCCATGGCCATCATCCAAATCTAGCTGTTTAAGCCTGACTTCGAGGATCTCCTCTAGGGGTGCTTTCTCTGGCGCCGGAAAAGTTTTCCGATGTAGCCGAAAGGGGCAGAATAGAAACTTCAGAGAGAGAATGGAGATATGGGTTCTAGTCATGATGCCAAAGAAAGCTGGTAAATGAAGAGTTTCGAGATTTCTGCACGTTCTCTCTCACACTAAAACTATACACACGCAAAAGAGAGAATGGTTGTCTTCTGTCTGTGTATATATACACGGAGAGAGAGAGTTTATGGGAGGGGGACCATACAAACGTGGGTGTAACTGAAAAGTGAAGTTTGCTTAGGAAAGATGGTGAGTGGAAATGGGATTAGTTGTAGTGAGAGACTTGGTGTGGATTTTAGAAGAGAGAGAAAAGGAGAAGAAAGGAGCATTTCTTGGCGGGAGGTGCACGCCATTGTGTGTATATATAAAGGGGAGGAGATTTTTGCTGATATTTTGCAATGGAAGTGAGTTTCCTCACGCCATGTTAGATAAAGCTCATTAGGTTGAATATGCATAGTTAGTTTAGGTCAGCAAATTACTCTCTCTCTCTCTCTCTCTCTCTCTCTCTCTA